CAAAACCTATGAGGAGAACATAGGTCAGCTATTGCTTCTTGTTCGTGGCTAATAGTAAAGCGAAGCAGCACACCCAAAGGGCGGTCTGCGTTCATCCCGTAATCCTGTACAGTTCTGATGGGCCTGACAGCGCCCAGACGCAACAAATGGGTCTTCTGGCTTTTGAGGGATGTGCAGGATTGGGGTTATGCTGTGGGCACAGCCCGTTACCCAGAAGCCCCGGCCGTAACGTCCAGCCACAAAGCCGTCATCATGCGCTCTTAACTAGGATGCCCAGTACTACCCTTATTCCGTTTTTGTAGTCCTAGATTCCTTTTAAAATGACCCAATACCAAAAAGGGAGCCCTTTTTATTCCTAGGTTACTGGGCATCCTACTGTTGATGATATAAATCCTGCATCACCTTAAGGCCCCTAAACTATGGGAATGATGGTATATTCCTATGGGTAATGCAGGATTTATATCATCAGCCGCAGTTAAGTCTCTTTTCTGTTTCAAAAGGTACCATCGGCTCCAGTCCTTCCTGGGGCGGCAGGATCTCATCCTAAGGAAAACGGAGGAGGAGCCCAAAGAGGGGAAAGCTTCCTTTCGGGCTTCAGGGGTTCAAGGTTTAGGAATGTTGGTTCAAAGTGTAGAGTAAGCTCCAAGGTTCGGGTCGTAGATTGTCTTGGTTACTTGAGAGATCATTTGAGATCGACGGGGTTGGGCATTTTTGGAGGATGGCTTGAATTTTCGGATGGGCTCGTTTTGGGGTCAGAGGTGCATTGGCTGCGACGGTGGTGGATCCCCTTTCACGGTTGAGGGTTTCGGGATTTCATATAGGGCAGAAATACCGCTCCTTGCGGAATCCAAGGCCTTGAACAACCCAGTCCCCCAAACTCCATACCCTCACCCGGCCTAAAACACAACTTCAGTTGAGAGTCCCTTGCAAAGCCCATCTAGATCCCGTTAAGGACCCCTTGCAAGCCCTTATAGATCCCTTTAAGGACCCCTGTAAATCCCTTCTAATAGATCCCTGTAAGGACCCCCTTTTAAAGCCCTTCTAGATCCCTTTGAGGGCCAATTGAGATCCCTTTCAGGACCGGAATCCCCGAACCCTCGAACCCTAGACCTTAAACCAGCTTGGGCCCCGAAGCCTAAGCCCCCAAACCTTGTCCCTCAACGCCTGAAGTCCTGAAACCCTAACCTGTAAACGCTAAACCTTGAGCCCTTTATGTACAGCAACCCAATCAAGCTCCTGCAGAGGAGCCGGGGGCCGATGCCGGTCAGATCACCTTGGATCAGGCCATCGAGACCTAGGTTAACATTTTTGGGGGTCTCCTGATAATTATTATGATGACATTCGTATTTGTTTTATTAGTTATTATTCTGATTATTTTGTTATTACTATTTTTTTGGTTAACATTTCTGTAAAAGCCTGAAGTTTCGGGGGTGAGATTTTTAGAGCTGTTTGAGAGCTCTCCGTGGAGGTCCTGGCCAAATCTCTCCGGGTCTGGATAACCCATACAGTAAGAGTCTATAATAGGGCTACGATTAAGGTCCCAATATATCTATACTATGAATATTGATTAACTATTACTGAGCGGGGGCCTTACCCAAGGTCTGGAGTTTAGGGTAGGCCCAGGCGTCTCCTGCGCGTGGGAGTTTGGGGATGCGCCTTCTCGATTGCTGCAGGCCAGCTTCGAGCGCGGGAGGTTTCAGGACCGACTATGGATACATGGGTGGTCGTCAAAATTAGGTTCCCTTTTTGGGTCCCGATTACAATAATCGGGACCCGAAAAGGGACCCTAATTTTGACAACCACCCACATGTTTCAACTTTGCGCCTGGAGTTTCGGGGCCCGAGTACTTTAGGGCAGGGGTCTGAACCATTAATGCCACCATGCCGAAGAGGGCCTTTATTTCTGTGGTATACTTCAAAGCTCCCGTTGCTCTCGTCTATTCTTTTAAGACCCCTACTATATTGCTACCATGTTTGTTCCGTGGTCTGAGCATCGAAGTTGCTTTCTTGCGCACACAGAGATGATGACACGCGCTTGAAGCTGAGAGGAGGGCAAGACGGAGCTCTTCACCCTCGGCAAGCTGAACCTCAAGTTGAACTCAGGAGATCTCTGTACTTCGATAGCGATAGACTAGAATGTGAAAGACCTTCGGGAGGGTCTCTTCAAAGCGTTGGGAGGAGAACAGCAACCGGCAACGGCATTACTCACAACACCGAGGGCAGCACCACAGCCGCGGCCCACAAAGCCAACGATGAAGACAATTAGTTGCTGCGGTATTTCAGAGACACACGCCCGAGGTTCCCCAAGTAGTGCTGCCGACAGACCAAACATTATATTCGTTGGTGTTTTCTTCCAATTGTGGCATCAAGAATCACCATCAGCATAAACCATCCATCGTCCTAATGAGCATCGTCATCGTCCCCTTCATCATCGCCACCATATCGTCAGTAAAGAAATCAGCAATAACATCAACATCAGCGTCGCTGTGCTTTGTGGTCGTCCTCGCAACCATCACGTGCGTGACCATCAGCCACGGTCATCATCCCGATCATCGCCAACTGCACCACGCGCGCTCGTCGTCATCGGCACCGGCACCATCATGCATCTGCATCATCATCATCATAATCTTCTTCTTCTTCTTCTTCTTCTTCACCGTTTTGAATCATCATCAGCATCGTCATCAGCAGCAGCACCCGCTCCGATCAAACTATCCGACCCTGCCCCACGCCCAGCCCGACTCCTGCCACCTGAGGTGTCGTGTGTGGGCCGGTGGGTTCTGGCAAGACCACCTTGGTGCTGGGCATGCTCGGTGAGGCCGCGAGACGCTGATTGCCTCTGAGGGCGTTTAGGGCTAAGGACTTCAGTCCAAAGGCCGAGCATGGAAGACGTCGGGGGCTTCTTGGCACCTGTCATTTCAGTAATGTGAGGGTCTCAGTCTTGAGGGTTGGAGTGCGCGGAGATTTCAGGCTGCGATCTGCTTGTCTTGCAAACAAACGTGCGTTTGCCATGATCAGCACTCCGATCATGGAGGACCATAGCAACTATACAGTTTGGTCTCAATGTCCTCTTTCCTTGTTGTGGCATTCCCTTTCCGGTGTTTTGTTGGCCTTGCACGGTTACACGGTTCCGGCACTGGTAGCACTGTAACCGAAATGACTTCGCGAGTTTTGTGCAAGACCCGGAGCTTAGATGTATTTGGGTGTGGATCCATGAAGTGCAGACTGTCATCTTTAGAGTCGTTCCGAAACTGATCCCATGCCATCCGACAATACAGAACCATCCATGTTTCACTAAACCTTCGGCTCGAAAATCCGTAATGCCTTGAGGTGCCCCAGGTGGGCCCCGACGGTCGGGTCGCAGTGGGCGGCAAGACCTCCATCGCCGCGCAAGAGTGAATTGGTTGCACCAGGGCATGGACAGTCGCGACGGCATTGCCTGTTTCGGTTTCAGTCTTGCATAAGCTATGCAGTAGCTACTTCACAACAAGGGAGAGACAAAGAAAGACGACAGAGTGACGCAATCGACTGTCTTAGCGAGTCATCCACGCCTGCCCATATCACACACACACACACACACACACACACACCAGCGTGCAAACGACAATCTTCCAACGCGGAGAAGGCCACCATGCCCCCTGTCCGTGATGAGTTTGTCGTCCTCAGCACAGAAAGTGGGTGACCAGTGACAGTTGCACCTTGTGCAGTAATTCCAGCATGACCTGTGGCACGGGGATGCTGCGGACTCGGACCCGGAAGTAGCTTTCAAGCGGCGGTCATGACAGCTGAAAGGTGGCATCCTTGCTATAGGACGAGCAGGTGAGGTTTCTCAGCTTTTGAAGCTTTCAGAAGACCCCAAGCCTCAAGGGTCCACGTAGCTACCCAGACATATATACATCTATATATGTTATATGTATATGTCGTGTATACATATATATATATATATATATATATATATGTGTGTGTGTGTGTTTGTGTGTGAGATTATATCTAGATCTGTATGTAAAACCTGATATGTTTTGGCCGTAGAGGTCTTCTTCCCTAGGGCGAAGTATGTATGTAGTGTTTGGTGGGTACATGGACCCTCAGGGTCAGGGCGATAGGAGGGCCATCTCAGAGATCAGGCCTTGGATCTTATCCGCGACTTTGAAGGACAACTTCCTGCAGAAGTAGCCTCTTGCAGCTTTGCTTACGGATTTCCCGAATAGACTTGAGTAATTAGAGAAAGGATACTCGTACGTTCATTGGCAATAAACTTGTGGTCTTATTCTTCAGCTGGAGAACACTTGCTCGTAATCGCTGTCTTGCCTCGTCGTGGTCTCCGTGGATCTTGTGGAGCCTTGCCTGCCTTGTGCCGGTGTGAGCGTCGAAAAGCTGAATCCTCAAGACAGGGTGTAGGGTTTAGGGTTTCCTAAACTCTAAGCCCTAAACGTCGGGAACCGAGAGGACAACGTCCACTGTTTGCGGTCCGAGAACGAGGAGAGTTACAGCGACGCAGTGCAGGCCCAGAGCTTACTTGGACTTGGACTGCGGGTCCTTAGGGTTCCGTCTGAAGGGCTCTCAGTTAGCAATGACCATTTCCATTTTCTAACCATGCACACCCCCCCAGCACCCAAACCATAACAACCTATACCTCAACCCTAAACCCACCCAAGACCCATAGGTAGAACCCTAGGAAAGACCCACGTGAAGACCCAAAACCATAACAACCTATACCCCAATGCCCACAAGATGGAACCACTAGAAGAAACCATAAACCACCACATAGAAAAATCCCAACCTCAAACCCATACACCAATACTCCCATAGAAAACCGGATAGTATCAACCCGAAACCCCTAACCTTGAAAATGGAAATGGTCTTCTTAAATAATTTTACAATAATAGGAATAATGTTTGGGAAGAAGGTTGCGCAACATCAGAACCGCCATCGCTCAAGACCGGCAGGCAATCGCACGATCACAGACAACATGCACACATCAAACAGTTTGATTTTGTAGACAGAATGGTTCGTCGCATTCTGCGCCGACATGGCACCCTCCGCCGAGCCGTGCTGATATGGTCGTTGGTTTGTGGAGTGGCGTTGGTTGCGGCTTGGGGCGGGCGAGCCTTTTCCCTAGCGGCCCTAGCGCGACCGGACCTACCAGATTGGACAGCCGAGTTTGCAGAGGCAAAGAAAGACTACGATGAAGCGAAGCAAGAATTGAAGGCTGAATTTCAGAAAGAGCCCCAACAGCGAGACCAACAACGCATCGAGTTTTTCACGGCGAACAAACAGGAAGCACAGAAGAAAATAGAGTTGCTCCTGCAGAAGCAGTCGCCACCATCCGAGGCGCAACAGGGTCCATAATACACCGTTTTTCCGCCGTAGGGTTAATTAGTTCGCCTAGGTGTTTGTTCCTTGCTAGGTTCTGTGCTTAGGTTTTTGGGTGTTTTAGGGTGTTCGTTCTTGTATTGCGAGGCCAAGATCACGGAGGATGTCATCGACCAGAAGATTAAGGACAAGGAGTGGCGCTTGCCAGACAAGCCAGATGTCAGTCCCCTTTTCAACAGAGAGAAAGAATTGGAGCAGGTTCAGAATTACATTGCCAATCCATTCGCTTTTGCCAACAAGGATGGTCTGTTCAACCTGCTGGGCACATCTGGAATGAAGGGCATCGGGAAGACCCAGTTGCTATTGAATTCTTTGCAGGCTGTGGAGAACCTGTCGAACACCAAAGCTGTGTATTTCACCTTCAACCGGCAAGGTGATTTGAAGGACAGAGTCCACGAGTCCTTTAGCAAAGGCAATAGGTATGACACTGCATTTGGTCATGCGCTCCTCACCGCATGTGGTGCATCGCTTGCTGCGGTGGAGGCATGTGACTTCGATAAATGCCTCGACGTGATTCGGAAGCTGGCTTGTGCTGACGTTGCAGAGCGTTTGGTCATTTTCATCGATGAGCTTGGTCTGCTAGACGCATATGAAAAAGAACCAGTGGTTGTGCCACTTCTTCAATCCTTGATGCGGTGCATGGACAAGCGAAAGGGCAAACTCGTTTTTGTCTTCTCGCATCTTCTTGAAGAAATGTTGACGCGTGGGGCAACACAGCAAAGTGGTCGCAAGATTAATGGAATATCTTTGGTGGCTTTGGCCGTTGACTTCTGGAAGACGAACCCTGCCTTCAGGGCATGGGCAACTGCGGCGCAGAGAGATGCTGGCATACATCAGTTGTTGCTGAGCTGTGCCGGTCATCCTCGTTGTCTCTTTGAAGGTTTGAAGGTGGAAGCAGTTCAGGACTTGTGCAATTGCGACGTTCCTCAGACTGCAATCGCTTTGGAGCGAGCTCGGGACCAAATTATAAACGAGTGCAAGTTCGATGACATGAAGTTCGACCTTCAGGAAAGCATGTTGATGCAATGGTTCAGTCCGCTGGAGCAGATGAACGAGACTGCCCTCGGCCGTGCCGGCTTGCTGGTTCGTGTAAAGACAGGTCTTGGCAAGGAAACGGCAAGCTTCCTCCATCCTCTCGTTCTGAGCTGGTGGGCACAGAAGAACAAAAAGTCCTCACGCCTCGCTACGCACCTTTGCCATGCCTACGAGTTCGATGCCGAACTTGCAGAAGGTTCAGAGAAGCGGATGGAAGGGCTCATGTTCCACTACGAGGCGGTGCTTCGTATTGCACTTGAGGGCAAACCCATTGAGTTGAGCCAGTTCTATGTCACCGACTATATCGGCGACAATTTCAAAAAGATGTTGCTGGTGGGAGCGCTCCCTCAGGCTTGTAGGGGCAGACTGGTAGAGTTTGTGAAGGACTTCAGCAACGTGAAGTTGGTCATCGACTGGCTGAAGAAGGGTGCCATAGTTGTCTCGCAGAAGCAGTCCGAAGAAGGCGTGGAGTATCTCACGCCGTGGCGGCTGAATGATGCGGAAGGCGAGCTCGTTGTTGCCTGTGTCCAGTGCAAGTTCGTGAAAGAAAAGGTCTCGTGGAGCATCGTTAAGAAGCACATGCACTCTGCCGTGGAACCCCTGAAGCAGAAGAAGATAGAGGTTTTCCCAGTGATTTATGCCACGCCTGACCAAGGCACCATTCAGGAAAGCACTTACAAAGATGGTGTCTACTTTAACGAGGTCAGCATTTTCAAGTTCACGAGCAAGTTGGGCATCCTTCGGCTTCACACCGAGAAACTCGGCAAGAGCCTGCAGAAGGAAGTGCCCGTGCTCAACCGATCCAGAAGCGAGGTTGCAGATTAGACAGGCATCTTCGCCATGAGTTCGAATGCAAGTTTCACCGAAGATCAGACACAGCGCGTGCGATTGTATCATTTAAGAAAAGCATTAAACCTTCCTATGTTTCATCAGCATAGTCTTTCTGTAGATTTCATACAATATAGAGACCGTCAGTTCATTTTTGGTTTTAATTTTGAAAGGGTTGTAGATAGTTCATACACTGGAATTAATACACCTGCTGGACAGCAAATGTCAATTCGCATAAAACCCGCTGGTGCTTCAATTCCTGCTACTGAAATGCCTGACCAAATGTATATAACATTACTGTCGGAACAAATATTAGAGATAAAAGATTTAGGTCTGAAAGTGTATGATTAAAAAAGTGTAAAAAAGTGTTAAAGACATCCTTATTAATATCACTATATGACTGATATCAATAAGTATCAAGACGGTAAAATATATGCTGTTAGAAACGACATAACCAAGGATATTTACATAGGTTCAACAACAATGGCGCTTTCCAAGCGAATGGTTAAACATAGATGTGATGCTAAAAGAAGACCTCATTTATCATTCTTTTATACATTTATGAGTGAAACAGGAATAGAACATTTTTACATTGAACTTGTTGAAAACTTCCCTTGTAATTCAGTTGAAGAATTACGAAAAGAGCTGGAGAAATAACACGAGAAATAGGAACACTAAATAAAAGGATGGAGCAAAGAGATATGAAAGAATATTTTAGACAGTATTATCAAGATAACATTGAAAGGTATAGAGAAAACGAAAAGAAGTGGAAAGAAAACAACAGAGAGAAAGTAAATGAAGATGCGAGGAAACAGTATTGGAAAGACCCCAAAGGTCCTTATGAAAGACATAAACCGTGGAAATCAATAAACCACGAATGCGAATGCGGGGGACATTATATAAATGGTAATAAGGCATCGCATTTTAAGAGTCAAAAACATCAAGCGTATCTAAAGCAACAAAACGAGAATTAAATTATATTAATGAAATTATGTGTTTTATTAATATAATGACACTAACATTGAATAATACAAACACTTTAACAGCAAATGCAATTATTGTAAATGGAACCAGTCTTTCAGATTTGTATGCCACAATAAATTATGTAAATACAAACAGTGGTGGAATTTCTCAACAAGACGTAGATGATAGTATCGCACTCGCACCTTTACAATCAAAAGATGTAGCATATATCAATACATTAACATCTCATATATCATTAATAGATACTAACACATCGGATATAGCAACGCATACAAATGATATATCAGTATTAAATACAAAGCAACTACAAAATTTCAATAATATAAATGATATTAATGATAATTTAACAAATAATTATCAGACGACATCACAATTAACAACAAATTTTTATAATAAAACAGAAATAGATGCTACATTAGGAAATTATTATACATCAGCGGCTATTGATACTGGATTTTATACTCAAACATATATTAATAAGAATTTATACACTAAAACAGAGGTGGATGGATTAGTAGGAGCAAGTGCTGGATACACGGATACACAGATTGATAGTTTTTTAGCATTAAAAGAAGATAAAGCATCATTTACAGATAGATTTTCGGCATTTCCAGTTATTGATTGTTCAATGCCAACATATATTCATCAAGGTTTAACGTTAAAAAACACAACAGTTAAGATAGAACCCTTAAAAGGTCTTACGTTTTCTAATGTTTTTGGAGCAGAAACTGACAGAGATGTAGCAGTATTTAAAAACCAGACTAATTACATAACATTAAAAGGAAATAAAATAAATGCTTATGCTACCAGTGATGAACGTATAGTAGAATTAGAATTAAATAATAATGGTCAATGTAATTTTAACGATTTAAGAACTAATAACAATTTTTTTTGCTATGCCGATATGACAGTTTCAAGTTTAGGTTTTGATTTAGTTAGACAATCAGGTAATACTACATATACATTAAGAGTTAGAGATTATCAAGGCATCTGGGAGTTTAGAAACAGAACCTTAACGTGTCGTAATACGAGCAATGAAAATCTAGATACACTTATGGAAATACAAAGTTTAGGACAGGGGCACGTAAGAATAGGGACAGCATCAACCGCGCAAGTAGGCATAGGAACTACACCGAACGCAAGTTTTTTTTTAACAGTAGGTGGAACTTCTAATTTTAATATAGCACGGACAGCAACAAGATTAGATTTAATAGGTGATTTATACACAAAAAGAACAGGAAGCGACATTTATAGACCGTCAGGCGATGCTAATTATACATTAAGAATAAGAGATAATCAAGGAGCGTTTGAATTCAGGAACAGAACGTTTAATTGTTTATATGCTTCTACACCAAACACGAACGGGACAGAAATGGTTATACAAGACACGCCGAACGGAGATAATAGAGTAAGAATAGGAAGCACAAGCAATTGTAGAGTTGGTATTGGTGCTAGTTGCGTTATAGGATATTATTTAACAGTTGGCGGAACAAGTCAGTTTCAAGAAGTCATCGTAAATCAATATCTATCAGTGGCAGGGTCAGAATTCATAGGCACTAAATCTAAATTATTCCAGCGAGCAGATGCTAGTAATTCACGTAACGTAATTAGCGAAACAGAAATTAATTTTTCATTACAAACAGATAGAGGCACCGACCCTACAACGGGAACAATAGCATTACAATTACACGATACGAATGGAATTACAATTAATAGAGCGGTTACAAATAACCAGACGTTTAATAGTATTGGTAATATAACAGCAGAAGCGAATTTAAATGTATGGGGCAATTTATTCTTTCAACATTCGTCAGCAATAAATGAAGTGTTAAATGGAACTGATTATGATTTATTAATATGGAACGGGGACACAGATAGAAGCATTATATTCAGAGTTGGAGCAGTTGGAACAACACCAGAATTACAAATAGACGACGGGAAAATCAATTTATTAGGTAATTTAGATATTACTCATAGCACAGTTTCAACAAGCGAAGTAGTTAAGTTCGATAATCCAGACACAGATGGAGATAAATTATTTTCTATCAATAATACTAATACGTTAGGTGTTTCAAGCATAGGTGTAGATATATACGGATTTTTAACAGGAACAGGCACAGCAACATTTACAAGCACAGTCACATGTAGCGCGTTAACTGAAACATCAGATAAGAAATTAAAAGATAATATTAAAGAAGTCAATGATAAAGAATGCTACAAGGTTGTAAATTATATCAGACCAAAAACTTTTAATCTAATTAATGATGAAGACAAGAGGTCTAATATTGGTTTTATAGCAGATGATTTTAAAGATGCTAAGATGCCGAAAGAATGGGATAATTTTTAATTTCATAATGATGAGAATAATAAACTATTAGCCTATAATAAAACAGCAGTCATATTATGGGGCGCAGTCAAAGAACTAATGAAAGAAAAAGATGAGTTATTTGACTTAGTTAAATCAATGAAAAAAGAAATGGCGACGATGAAAGGTGAAAGAACAAAATTAAAGGTAAAGGTAGAGCCGATGAAAAGGGAGAAGGAAAAGGAAAATAATATAAGTTATTGTATATATGGGTTCTAAATCTTCTAAATCTACAGCAAGTGAAAATATGAAGCAAATATAAGAATTAGATATCAATGAAAAAACTAAAACAGATATTTTACTATTCAATACTTTAAAAGACTGTATAGAAAGAATTGAAAAATTAGAGGAAACAAAGAGTGATAAAATATATTATAAATTGCCAGCAATAAACTTATGTAGTTATTCATTAATTTAGATTGATAATACTATGATAATATAATATAATCAATCAATAACTAATTTAGCATCAAGTCGTTTATAAGACATATCATTTACATCGCCTTTCATTAGATTAATGAATAAAAACCTGTATGGTTCTTCCGTTGCTGAATTATACACTTCTAACATTAGTTTCTTTGCTTCTGCTAGGTTTTTAGTGTCTGCCACGGATGACTTCTTAATCATTACGGCGCTTAATTCTTCCACCATTGTTTCAATCTCTTTGTAGTTTCTTAACCTGAAGAAAAACAATTGACGACTATTAACTCGCATAATAGGACTTAGGGCATTGAATTTCTGCGTTGCTGTTATAATGTTGATTGCGTTGTGTCTGCCTCTATCTAACGTATAACTGATTTAGCAAAGGTGAATTTCTTGAAAATGCCTTGCTGTCTGCGAAATCATCTACAATAACTAAAATTGAAAATAATTTCTTATGGTCGTTCTTCTTCTGGTATTCTATTACCTTTTGCTGTTGCTTTATCACCTTTTCTAGTTCTTCTGGGATGTATTCATCAAAGAAACACTTTTCCTTTTCTAAATCCACCTTCAACTCGTCCTGAATATATCTTTTCACTGGTGCCCAATTACCATCTACGGAAATTGAAGGAGACCATACATATGTTCTTTCAAATACATTCCGATAGATGTCTAATATCAAGTAGAATTCCTTTTCCTGAACCGCCAGGGCCGGTTATGATTTGAGAAAATGGTAATCTGGGCGCTATATCGTATTTAGATTGTTTGAAGTCATATTCCTTTACATTTACTGGTTTAACTATAGGCGTAATCATTATCAATAATACCTAGAAATTTTATATCTTTAATAATATATGAAGGATAATAAAATAACATATACTGATTATATTGAAATTATCAATGAAAAGATTGAAGAAATAGTAAGACCACCTAAATATCGCAGGTGTTGTTTCAACCTACTTGAGTTTATGAAGGCAATTATTCAATATTCTAAGATAAAATCTAACAAATATAAATGAGTAAGGAAGAAGCAAAACAGAACGACAATTTCCATATTGATAAAGGCAGTGTCAGTTGCAATTTATGTCGTTGTGGTAGAAAAGCATTTCATAAGGAAACGAAAACAACGACCGATAAGGAAGGTAATACAGTGGTAAATCAAATAGAGGAGCGTAGCAGTTGGCGTTTAGGAACGGGTCGTGGTGTGACACCCGACGACCAGAGCATTTTTAGAACAAACAAAGATGCTAAGGAAGATATTGATACGGTTGATACGGGTTGGGGAAAAGTGGGAACAGGTCTGTCAATTACACCAGAAGAAGCAGAAGAAATAATAATTAAGTTAGAACACGAACTGGAAGAATTAAAGAACAAGAATAAAATCTATGGTATGGATTAATATATACATATTAATATATGGATGGTTTATGCCCTAAAACAGTAAGTAAGGAGGAGAAGAAAGACTTGTTAGGTGAAAGAGAAAATATTAGAATGTATAATGCTAGATTAAGTGCTATAACAGATGAACTGGAGGATTACCATCATTATGAAGATTATAAGAAGCGATTTAAATTGCTGTTTGAGTTTTATCAGTTAGAAGAATTGTTAAAATAGTCTAAAGGTATAATTATGATATGTTATGACAGAGTGCCGCCAGATGCCAGTGCCCCGTGTGTTTCCATAAGCGCATCAACAGAGTGTGCTAATGGATAATTAGTTTGGAAGTGTGCCCCGCAATTCATTTTTGGCATTGAAACAGAAACACCCCTAAATGTTCTAATGATGAGTTCAAAGATTATTAGAATGTTTGTTTTATCAGTCTAACTGTGTCTAAAGACTAGACTTTTTAATATAGTAAGATGGAAAAGCGAGTGTGTAAATTGTGTTGCGCGACAAAAGCTATTGAACAGTTTGACGGTTTTAAGACTTGTAATAATAGGTGCCGTGAAGCGAAAAGAAAATGCTACAAGAAAAACCAGAAGGAATATAACCAAGCGAGAAGAGAAGAGAGAGCAAAAGGGAGCCAATTATGTGAAGAATGTGGACACAAAATAAAACACGAATACTGGGATGCCCATTTCCATTATGCGTTACATCCGAACTCGGAACTAAATGTATTGATGAAAGATTATTTAAGGAAATTAGGTAATTTAAGGAAAGAAGGCAAACTAAACGATGACATACAAGCAGAAATTAAGGCAGAATACGAAAAGCAGAAAAGGAAAATACGCAAACGATTAAACGAACAATTTCCTAATATATTTGTTGATAAGAAGAGGAAACGCCAGAACCACAGCCATCCACAGCCTGAACCCGAGAAACCTAAACCCGATATAGATAAAGTGTTTAATCACGTCCATCAATTGCTAATGAATGATGAGTTTTTGGAAGACTATTTTATGCTATTCGGCAAGCATAAGGACAGAGGTATTATCGAAATTCCTGTTGATAAACCATAAGTGTAATGTAGTTATACCCCGTAAGACTTTATAGACTATAACTACATTATGGTTACTTGCTATCAGGTGCGTCGCGCGCTCAGTGATTACCTTATCCCTAAACCTTATTCCTATTATTGTTATTTTATTGGAGATGACCATTTCCATTTTCTAGGGTTAGGGATTTCGGGTGGATACTATCGGGTTTTCTATCGGGGTGCGAGTGTATGAGGTTGAGGTTGGGGTTTTTCTATGTGGTTGCCTATGGTTCTTCTAATGGTTCTATTATGTGGGTCTTAGTATGGGTATTTTGGTGAGGTTAGGGTTGAGGTATAGGTTGTTATGGTTTGGGTGCTAGGGGGGTGTGCATGGTTAGAAAATGGAAATGGTCATTGCTAACTCTCTCCGGGTAATTTGGGGCTCAGGGTTTAAGTGTTTAGGGTTTCGGGTTCCTTTACAAGGGCTCTGTTTGGGTTAAGGGGTTACGGCTCCTTTCAAGGGGTTCTATAAAGGTTATTTATGGGTAGCTAGGAGCGATTTTGATTGCACGGGTAGCTGGGTTCTACAAGCACTTTGGCTTGGGGTTTAGGGTTTTAGGGTTAAGGTTTGGTTGAAAAAGCTTCCTGGTAGTTCTAGCTTGTTGCTTAATGACAAGCCTGATTCATTACACTGCACATCAGTAAGCAGGGTGCAAGGGGAATGAGCGATCTGGGTGAGTTTGCAACACTCACGACCCTCTTGAACGTCGATTGAATGGAACTGCCAATCACTACCAGCCTAATTTGACATCATCTGAGTTGAGAGTGCTTGTGCTATCGAGTCTGTTTGCAAGCTTGCTGTTCAGGCGGCGCAGCTACTGCCAGACTTCGCAATTCTGCCGGGTGGAGATACCACAGAGATCGGCTCGAGAGGCATCAATGTGTCTGGCGGTCAGAAGGCAAGAGTGGCCTTGGCTCGGGCACTCTTCGGCATGCCGGCCGCGGATGTGGTGTTTTTGGATGACGTGCTCAGTGCGGTGGACGTCCATGTTGCCACCTCCATCATCAGCGAGGCTTTGCTGGGGGTGCTGAAGAAAAGCACCCGAGTCATCGTGGCGAACACCTTCCTGCCACTACTCCTGCCCCATGCTCAGTCGGTGGTCGTGCTTGGCCCCGGAGGTGTGGTGGACACCATCGCGCCACCAGATGAGGCGATGGCTTCCAGCAAGTGGCTGCGGGAGGCTGTCGGGACAATGGGAAGCTGCGCCGAGGCCCAAACAGAAACCAAGCCTGCACTTCCCAGCACCACCTCGGAAGCGCCCGTCGGTGCTGGAAAGGGTCTGGACGGTTCCCTCTTGATCGCAGAGGAGAGGCAGCTGGGCATTTTGAGCCTCACCGCCTATGCAAGCTATTTCCGCCAAGCAACCTCTGGGGGGAGTTTGATCCAGGGCGCCGTGCTCTTCGCCTTTGTTTGCTTGCTGGTGGTCCTAGCGGAGGTGTGCCGTACATTCACAGAGATTTGGGTCACGCTCTGGACTGAAGCCGATGGAACTTCAGCAGGAGACCTTCCCTACTGGCTGGGGGGGTACGGAGGTATAGTAGTCGTGCTCATGCTCGTGTGTCTTCTGCGTGCGGTGGTGTGCCCCGGGTATCTTTGGCATGCTCTTCCTGCTGTTGTCAAGCGCTTCAACCTTAGTTAAGCCCCTAAGACTTTTTCGAACTGCGATAGAACCCTAATCACAGAAATAACAACTCCCCTTAGACGTCCTGAGACCTCTAAGCACCACAAAAGCCAAGGTTCACAATGATCATCGTCCGCATAGCGGCGGGAACCCACACGCACATGGTGCAGAAAGTGCTCCGAGCATCGGCTCCCCTCTTCTTCGACGTCGTCCCGGCTGGGCGCATCCTGAATCCTGCCAATCTTGCCAGAGAGATAGAGTCTAATATAGGGGCCTTCATATTAGAATAGGGTTTTGGGGAATATTATACTAGGATAGAAAGTAACTAAGCACAGGTAGTGGCATAGGGATGAGGGATAAGGAGTCATGTTTTGTACCGTCGATCTGCTGCACTATCAATTACTAGAAGCTATGATGTAGATTTCCCTGTCGGCCCTCCGGCTCCACCTTTTGCTTCAGGACGAAGGGCAACATAAAGATGGGTTCAGCTTTGGGATTTCCCCTTTGTGCGTTTGTGGAAGAGATCTCTGACGCCATGCCCAGGAATCGCTTCTCAAGAGATCTGGATGCTATGGACTCTCAGCTGCCAGCCGCTTGGACCATCGAGTTCGGAGTTACTTGGTTCAGTGTTTGCGGGTTCGAGGTGATGTGAATAGATGAGGCTGTTCCCTAGGCATCCTTCATCCTTCAGTTATAGATGATACGACAATCGACCCAAGACCCTATTCTACATATATGGCACCTGGATGGACGAAGTCTATATGCAAGATGGCCTTCGTTATATGATGTTGTATGAAGGGTCAGCAATCCAACACACCCCTCGGGCGAAGGATTGTGTCGTACGGCCGCTACTCCCTCACCTCAATCTAAACGGTCTGTCAAGCCGTAAGACTACCCTGTTGAGATGAGAAGACAGCGTAAGATTGTTGCACTAGGACTACATGGCCGAGTTCCTCACAAGCTTGTCCTATGTCATCGCCAGCGCAGCAGTCTGCGTGACGGTGTCTCCCTTTGCTCTCCTGGGCCTGGCACCGCTCTGCATCATGTTTGTGTACGTACGGAGGCCCGGGAAGCGCTGCAGATGTCGAGAAGGAGCGACTAGGGACTAGAAAAAACGAGTGCGACCTCTGCCGGCAGGTACTACACGTCGAGCGCAAGAGAACTGAAGCGACTGGAATCCGTGTCAAGGACCATGGTACATACTTGGATCAGTATGTTTCAGTTTTAGTGTGGGGTCGGTCATACACGGAGGATGGCGCAGGGTTCGCGCGATTGCACCCGCCTTTGATAGAAGAGTTCGCAGGCTTTGGCTTCCTTCGCTTCCGTCGAGCAAAGGTAATCCTTGGGCCTGAAATCCGCCGACTGCCGATAGCAGGAGCCCACTCTACGTGGACTTCCAAGAGCTTCTTACAGGCTTGGTCCACCTCCGAACCTTTGGATTGGAGAAACGACCCCCGGCTACAGCACGATAACAAGGAGAAGGGGTACGTAACTTTGTGATTTCCCACCTACATCCAAGCCTCTGTCACACTCGAGGTGCGCTGCGAAATTTTGAGGCGAAGGTGGATGAGAACAACAGGAATGCCGGCGTGATTCTACAAAGGTTGCTTAAAGGTTGTTCAGGGGTCGCTATAATTTAGGTTCTAGGACTATCTAGGACTACATAGCACAGAGTAATAGATAGTAAACTACTGGCGTGTCTCGAGAGTCCGGAATCAGTGCTTATCGAGTGTACTATAATGAAGTGTGGGGGTTGGGGCTGGGGCTGACTTCGCAGATTCACACCCGGATCGTCCCGGAGACTTATTGTTGCTCTTGCGGCTGCGAGGCCGCTGCTAAAATTGTGGCGATCATAGCCTGGACCGACCGTCATGATGGGCGGCGCGATCACCTTCCCCATCACCACCCTTGGCCCTCGCATTTAGCATCACTCGCAGTATCGTAGGCTTACTTCACGGTTAGGCTTGTCATAACCTTACTATATTATATAGTTTCGGTTGTCATCTTAATGGCTGTAAACTCAACTGTTCAACTTTTGGGGTTCTTATAAGGTAGTCGATTCTGAATTGTTCAGGTTTTATTTCCTTGGGTTTTGGGCCAATGAGTCATCACCACTACCTTGACCAATTTCACCCGTTCGATCCCACACCCCCGTTGGTAAGACTTTCACGGCATAGAAATCAATTTGAGCATGCGCATGCCGTGACAACAGCCCTGCTGAACTTCTATTCCGAAGTATTCTGATCACGGTTGCCAGTATCGTCATATGGATACTGGGTGTTTTTGTTTGAAGATCTTCTCACACCTCGGGCCTAATCCTTTAGTGCGTCCAGCCCGGTCCAAACCCGACGCGAACGCGGCCCCACTGCTGCTGATGCAGGATGTTCTTCCATCTGCACTCGCTGGTGCCTTTCAATGTCCTGCGCATGAGTCTTGTCGACCATTTGCATATCACACACGAGTGGAAGCCGTTCGTCCACGGCCCCCCATCTGATATGCTTAGTCCCATTTCCCTATGCGGCTGAGCAAGTCTGAAGATGCGAGGAACGGTTTAGCCGCCCTTTTTGTGTCCGTGATGGCAGCCGTGGCTGGGGTCTCAGGATCCGTGGATTCTTGCAGAAAAACCGGTGATGCGAAGAAGACTCTCCATGTCTAATCATTATTTGGGTGCTGCTTCAGTGTTCTTGTCCGTTACTCCGGTGCGCCCCCACCTCTATCATCAGTGTGGTGGCATGGATTGAGACATCTGCGGCATAGTTACACCCGAAGGAGGTGGCAGTAGCAGAAAGACTCAGAAGCAGTCCGTGGTTTTGTGCGGAGCTGACCTGTTTAAGAGCTTGTGGGCCTCAGTGGTCTGGGACGCCCAAGTTCAAACTGCCGTGCAGTCCAACATCCCTTGCCTTACCCGATTCAATATACCGTTTAGGGTCTAGGGTGTTAAATCGTCAGACATGTTGCGACAAGTTCTTGGCATCCGAACATGACAAAACTCGTCACAAGCCACTACAGACCCAAACACCTTACACCCTGAACCCTAAGCCTAAACCCGAGTGTGAGCGCTGAAACCCGAAAGCCCAGAACTTACCTTTGGTTAGTAGGGAATGGAAGAAAGGTAGTGGTAGTAGTTGTAGTTCTACCCCATTCCTCCATTCCCTACTACCCAAAGAATGGTAGTAATATGATAGTAATATGGTGGTAATATGGTAGTAATAGTAAGTATAATTGCCGAAGGTCGTGGTCTTGGGCAACCGCCTGGAGACCTCGCTGATTGGCCTCGGTCTCTCTGCCGCTGCAGGGCTCATTGGACGACTACACCAGAAGCCAGGCTTACATCCCACCCTAACCCTGAATAACCTACCTTTTTAGGGCTCCTTATTATGATTTCTTTATATAAGTCCGTAAACATGTAGGTTCTTCGGGGTTAAGGCAGGGCTTAGGGTTTGGGCCGGCTACACCAGATCCCAGGCCGATTGTTAGTTTCTGGAGCGCGATTCGTATTCAGTATTATGATTGTCTGCTGTGGTCTTCGTACGTATATATTCGTATTCAAGCACTATATTGAACAGCGAGGTTGCGTGTCTCATCACGACATTGGGCTCAAGGATTCGGGCTTAAGGAATGTATCCTGCTTGAGAGTTGGTCTGAGAAAGTCCAGCGGCTCACGTTCTGCCCAGGACAATACGTTTTTCTGCAGAGGTCGAGAACAACTTCACCTCCGTAGAGCGCTTGTGTCTTGGCCGTTTCTGGGTTGGCTGCCGAGGTCATTTACCTTATAAAACGTTGCCCTTATTCTGGCGAGGTTCTATCGTTCTATGTTGTGGATCGCTATAAACTGCTTCAGGCAGTGTCAAGCCCCGTTGTTTGGTTCTGCGGCAAGCGGGGAATCGACTACTCTCTCTCTCTCTCTCTCTCTCTCCTCTCTCTCGGCCACAGTGCAAGAACAGCCCCGTGTTGACTTTCAGGCAGCATTTCAACAAGGTCCCCCAAGAGGCCGGGCAATCAGATTTGTCGATCACCAGTCTCAAACCCGAAACCGAGCGGGTGGCTCAGTTGCGGACAGGTGGAGACAGTGGAGACCTCCGATGCACCGGCACCTGCTGCATCCTGGCCGAGCAAGGGCGAGGTCGTCTTCGAGGATGTGAAGCTCAGCTACCGCCCTCATCTCCCTCTTGCAGCTTGGAGCACTATGCAGAATCTGCAGGCGTCACTTTTGTTGCGGGGCGTCTTGCTTCACGCGCTGATTGAGGTACCCTGACCCCTTAACCTTGCTGAGTTACCGTGCATGCAAGGTCTTAGATGGCGTGTCTTTCCGCGTGCTCGCCGGACAGCGGGCAGGCATCGTTGGGCGGACAGGCTCTGGCAAGTCCACCTGCCCGGCCCCAAGAAAAAGCTGACAAAGCGCCCCCTTCTCTCTTGGTGGAAGATGGTAGACTGCTGTCCTTGTAAGGCCTAAGGAAGCTGATTTTGGCCAGCCTGCGGTACAGCAGTACAGCTATATAAGTACATAAAGTACGGTTCTAAGTAAGTATATAAGTACAGTTACCTTTAATCATAACCCTATATAGTTACTAACTGAGGCATGGGCGCGCTTCTACGCCTGGTGGAGCTCGCGGGAGGCTTGGGCGTTCTAGAAATCAGGTAGTAAGTAGACTTATAAGTCCCCTAAAAGGGACCCGAATTGGGGTGATGGTACTTATAAGTCCCTAAGAAAACCAGTTTGGTTCTTTCTAGCCAGGATGACAATTCTTCCGTCGTGTCTTTCATCCTAGGTCCTAGCCGGCAGTCGATGTCAATCGCTCCCGTTGTCCGGATGCGGCTTCTGGTGTTTGTTCGCACTTGGATCGCGAAGCCTTTTCCCGAATGATACGATGTCTGTTAGAGGCAGAATCCTGATCGATGGCCAGGACGAGCTGCTTGCATTGGGCTTTCTTCCCCGCCTGGAATGTGAGGGTTGCAATGCCGAAGTGCAGAATGGTAGAGATGCCAGCTGCTTAGAGCGAGGGCTACATACCCGCTTTCCAGACACAGAAGCTTAAGTGGCCCTGAATGCCAAGAACTTGAGACACCTCTATATCCTTAACATTCCCTTAATTAGTCTAAGTATGTAATTATGTTATATTTGGCCCCTAAACCCTAAAGGCCTCTGTAGTACTCTCTTGCTATCTCAAGAATCTTGGACTCGACCCCTGGCAGGCATTCTTCCTCTCCTTGAACTTGGCATTGTGGTCACATGAGCATACCAACGGCAGTCAAGCAGACATAACATTTACGAGCAGGCATGTGGTGTGTGTGTGTGTGTGTGTGTGTGTGTGTGTGCTTCCGAGAGCAGCCCAGGCAGGAAAATGAGTTGGAGCATGACATCCCGGAATGAGTGGGCCTTTTGACGTCAGCTCCCGAATCTACTGAGGCAGAAGTTGTAACGTAAGAAGAAGCAAAAATTAGACAGAGCTGTCCAACCCCGGAGCATTGTCAGCCTTGGTGGACACTGTCAGAATGTCGTTGTCGTTCATGTGCCATCAGGGCAGCACGTCGTCTGAATCGAGCGATTGTCAAGGCAATGTGTAGTCATCTACTGTACCGTAGCCCTTCAGAGAACCCGTATAGACCCGGCTAGAACCCTTGCAGGCTTGGACCCGACATGATTCCACAGGACCTGGCGCAAGTCCCTCTACAGCTCCTGAGGAGCCATGCCGTAGCGATTATCCCGCAGGATCCGTCACAACCTGAGAGTACGCTTTGGGATCTGCTAGTAACTAGTAGCTCCGTTGGCAGAGGGTGTGGGAATGTTCCTGCATCAGGGGTTGCTAGTTGTTTTGTTTGGGTTGGCCTATATATATATATATATATATATATATATATATCTATATATGCTTCATAATGTAAAGAAAGTTAGTATCCATGCTGTTCGGGCTGAACGACGATCCAGGATTGCAGTTTGTCCATCTTCAACATGCACAAATTTTGAAATCTTGTGAGAATGATGAAATATTGCATTTTTCGATTGGACTTGGTTTTAGTTCTATTTCCGAGACCTCAAGGCCTTTCACAAAGTTACGAGGCTTCGATCTTTCGTTTTCAGATGTGTATGTTCAACGGGATGGATAGAGACATGCAAGGGTGAATTCTTCGGCTATAGCAATGCATAGAGGCATAAAGACTAAGAGGTCGGAAGTCTGATAGGGATACGTAGGTACATAGATACAGGTGGATGCAGAAAGGAAGATAAATGGACGCGAGAAAATCGCTAGCATCCCACAAAGAAAAGTGTGGGTCTTCAGTCTTCTGACACCCTGCTTCCGCTACGAAGAAACCGGTCGTGCTTATATAGATAGATGGGCAGATAGATAGCTAGGGGGTATCTAACAGATGAAGAATGGAAGCAAAACCATGGTGTCTAGGTATATAATGTATAGAGTTTTTTTCACGGTCGTTTCGCGGGTGAAGGGTGCAGTCGTTGCACCAGAAAGGCAAAGCACGTATTTGCCCAAAGCTTCCCTGACCATTCTTCTGCCTAGGTTTTTGTTCGCCGGCACCGTCCGGGACAACTTGGACCCTTTTGGCCACCCGACTTGTTATTCGCAAGGTTCTCGGAACACCCAACAGTGTCGCGCCTGCTCCTGCTGCTACTGCTACTATTTCTACGACGACTATTCCACGTCTACGTGCACTACTACTACCACTACTACTACTACTACTACTACTACTACTACTACTACTACTACTACTACTACTACTACTGCTACTAGCCACCCCCCCCCCCCCTCCCAACTACACTTGTTCCATCCGGGCTGGGCAGCGGTAGCTGCTAGGCGCCTTAACTGCGATAGTTGCAGAAGATGCACGGGCTCAGGCTCCTTGCCTGTGACAGCTGCAGAAGTTGCAGAGGCTCAGTTTCCTTAACTGTCACAGCCGGTGAAGTTGCAGGGGCTCAGGCCCCAAAGCTGCCACAGCGACGGGGAGGAAACTGATAAACCCCAGGTGGTCGGATAGTACGAAAACGCTGTAAATACCGTGCAAAACCCAGGTGCTGCCAACAAGGGTTTAACGTTTCTAAAACCTGAAGCGCAACGTCTTCTGAACATCAAAAACAAAGATGCCAGCTGTACGTGGGAGGGGCTCGCCAACACCCCTACCGCCCAACCTCTGCGTAGGAGGGTCTGTTTTTGAAGTGGTGTGTGTGGTGTGTGCGCGCTTGAGTGTGGATATATTGTTCAGGGTGTCCGCAAAACAGTGTCGTGATCATCCCCGAAGAAGCTTTCCCCCACCCAATTTCGAGTTTTTTTGCAAACAGTTCCAAAGAGCAAAGTTTAATACGCATAGTCGAGAAGTAGGGGCTCAGAATATGTAACAAAGTCTGACATCACGAAAGTACCGTAAATACCGAGTTAAACGGCTCTTGTGGTGATACTGCTGGGTGTGTTCGCGTAACACTGTCGTCATCATCCCCCCCCACCCCCCCACCCACCCCCAGAAGCACCTCCAAAATCAAGAGCCCGAGTTTGCAAACTCGACAAGTCGATTTTTGGGCCTCTTAGGATGATCGCACATGACGAAAGTGCCGTGAATACCGAGTAAAATGGATGTTGTCTTAATATGGTTGAGAGCAAGTGTAGTTGGTAAGGGGGGTTCTTACTACTACTACTACTACTACTACTACTACTACTACTACTACTACTACTACTACTACTACTACTACTACTACTACTACTACTTTACTACTACTACTACTACTACTACTACTACTACTACTACTACTACTACTACTACTACTACTACTACTACTACTACTACTACTACTACTTTACTACTACTACTACTACTACTACTACTACTACTACTACTACTACTACTACTACTACTACTACTACTACTACTACTACTACTACTACTACTACTACTACTACTACTACTACTACTACTACTACTACTACTACTACTACTAGTACTACTACTACTACTACTACTACTACTACTACTACTACTACTACTACTACTACTACGGCTACTGCTACTGCCACTACCTGCACCACCGCCCCTACCAGTACCACCACGACGACTACCACGACGACAACGACTACCACCCCGACGACGACGACTACGACAAAGACGACTGCGACTACTACTTGTATGGCGGCGACTAAGTCCGCTAGCACTGCCACTTCCCTCACTACCCTTGAGTCTGCTACTGATACGCCGCCGGATGGTTGCCATTATGTGCTTGTCAGCTTCGTGCATGTCAAGCACCCTTCGCGAGAATCAGAAGGCAATGGTTATGTTTTGTTGATTGCATTAACCAGTCGGCAAATTGCTGGACATGTTCAAAGTTGCCCAGTTTTTGTCTCCTAAGGCTGTGCCTAATTCAGCATGCCATCGACACTAGCCCACATGTGATGCTGGTGCATTTTTCGAGACAGCGCTCCTCGCAGAACTCCTGTTTTTTCCACTCCAGAACTCCGGAAATCATGCGAAATATGTGCACGATGCTTTTGAAGCGATGGGCGCTATCTCACGCTATGCCATCAGCAAGCCTTGCAGCCGGAATCGCAAGCCGAAACAAAAGATCCAACAGTGCGAACGCCTACATGTCGCATCATTTCGACGTCAGAATCCTGAAGCAGGCATGTCCTCCGCCGCCGAACATCAGCAAGCCTTGGTGCAGACGGGCCTCTGGAAAGCTCTTGGTGAGGCCTCGCCTGCATCGGGGAGTCGGCCTCGAATTTTTCATAGCTTCGGAATCCAAGGGGCATGCCTGAGGCTCCACGATTCCCCAACTTCTGGCTTTTCAGTACTTCCCAGCAGAGGCTTTGCAAGCTGGATGCAAAAAGTCTGGCAACTTATCGGAAGACCCCGAAGTCGTTAGCCGACGGAGAGTTCCCGATAGGACGGCCTGGATTCTACGGTGCAGGGCCGTGGCGCCAATTTCTCGGCCGCTCAGGGCGCAGTCAAGCTGGGCACAAACGGGCTTTTGGTCTTTGTTGATTTGAGGGTTTGTGTAAAAAAGGGGTTTGGGCTCGAAACTCGCAGGAGGCCGCTTTGCAAGAAGGCTTGAAACCAGAGACGGACACCAACTGTAGTTGTGGCGCATGGCTGTGATACTTATCTTTGGCGCGCGGAGTGATCACTAACGACACTGACGGGAATGGTAACGAGTGAGATAGTCTTACTGATGATGGTCGCGGTGGTCGCGGCCACAGTAAATGATACTTCTGTCATTTCGAGGAGATACCTGGCCCGCAGCGAGCAATGTTGCCGAAACCGAGATCTTATGATTTCCGGTACAGTGGGACCAGCTTGTAATGTGAATGCCCGAAATGATCACCTATGGTTTTTCTTCGCGTTTTTTTAAGAAACAACTATACTTCCATGTACTCCCTTGAAAACCCTCTTCTACTGATTAAGCCCGAAGGTCTTTGGGTGTTGCGCATTAACCGAAGCTGGACTAGTGGTGCCTTCGGGCTGAGATTATCTCCTGACGTCTCCTCAAAGAATTGAAGCTTCACAGGCTCAAGGCTCCAGAAGCTCGGATCCCCTGCCAACCCTCGCATCTGGAACATCACATCACACCTTCCTCTCAGATGCTGCCGTGCGTGAACAGTTGATGTTGCACGCCTGACACAGCCGACCGTAATCCTTCGATGATGTGTGTGCAGAACGGCCATTCTCTGCCACGTCGTAATTATGCGGTCCTTTGCGATCAGCCACCACACAGCTGGGCAACCTAGGCCCCCATTGTGTTGTTAAGGCCTTCGATATTCGATGTATCTCCGTCTTTACAATTTTCCACTCCCAATACAGCGTCCTGATAAAACGGAAGGAAGGGGGGTGGGGGTTTGGGTGTTGTAACTACATTATAGGACCCTTCTAGATCCCTTACAGACCCCTTTTAAAGGAACCTTATTCTAATTATTAAGGCCCCTATGCTGCACCCCAAGACCTGCGCACTAAGCCGTGCTGCCGCAGGTCGGCCAACGCCAGCTGCTTTGTTTCGCCCGCTCTTTGCTGCGTCAGGAGCCTCGGGGCTTTGAGAGGATGGAAAGAGTGTGGGAGTCTCCGAAACTTAGGGATACCTTATGTTGGTGTCCTTAAAGACAAGGATCTTACTATTCAGGGTGTTATAGCCTGCCGCCCTAGATGCACGATGCTGCACGCAAGTGCTCTCTGCTAGACTAGAGATACTTGTCACCGCGTGAAAGGACTCGGAGCCGGGGCTCGAGGTGTGAAGCCTGCCCTAAGGCCCCAAAGTAGTTCCTTTTTGGGGTTCATATATAGAATCCTATATCCCAAAAAGGAACTACTTTGGGGCCTATGGGTAGACAACCTTTCGACCGCCCCCCAACCCCCCCCCCTCCCCCCCCTGAATCTTGGCAAGGCCCGCGTGATGCTCCTGGACGAGGCGTCGGCCAACATTGATGCGCTCACGGACGCCACGCTCCAGAAAACGTGCCCGGGCCGTTCGAGTCGATTTTGAGGGATGGGGGATGTTACATGGTGCTTCTCAACCGTCAAGCATTGTGCCCCATAACCTTTGGCCCGAAAACACGCAGAACTCCCAAGCCCTGCACCGATAACACTAAACCATATAGCCTCATGAAGAAGCAGGAGGGAAAAATGACCAGAAAGAAGTATCAAAATCAATATCCTTCAGTTCCTGGCCCAGGCTTAGGACCTGCTTTACTGGCTCCACGCTGCTGATCATCGCGCACCGGCTGTGGCTTTGTCGGCATTCCTTTGATATGGAAGCCTCGTTTAGGGTTTTTAGGGACTGCTCCTGAAATCTCCTCAGCTTTATGCTAGAGGCATTCTAATTGACCATGCTACCTTTCTGCGTGTATGTATGTATGTACGTACCACACTACACTGCACCGTGCTATACTACACTATATTGATACTGTACCAATACTAATACTATAGTACTGTATACGAATACGACAATACATTAAACTGCAGCATTGTGCAGTAGACTACATCAAACTACGACACTACACTACACTACACCACACTACACTATACGTGCTACACCACATCACAGTACGCCGCACTATAGTATACTATCTCAGCACAATAGAGTACAACATGTGGGATGCGATCGTATTTCATATAAGTACATTGGAATCTAGCGTAATCTCGTCCAACCTCGTTCAATCTCGTCTAATCCAAATCTATTGAAATGCATCCTAGCCTAGGTAATCAAATCTAGCCTAATCTAGTCCAGTCTTATGCACTGTACCAGCAGTAGTAATGATAGTGATAGCAATCGTAATTGTCATCATCTTTTCAGGTCGACAATCGCTGATGCCGACCTACTGGTGTGCATGGACAAGGGCTTCATGGCTGCAGCAGGGAGGTCACCGTTTGGCTGCCTGTTTATCCGATCTTATAGCCATGATGCATGGCTATGTTGACTAGCAGGAGGACCAACAGGGGTGAGGGGAATTGCACAACCCTCAAAGCACGGAACACCGAAGTCTTAAAGACGGGACCCAAACTGGCCAACGCCGTCCCCTCTTTGAACCCAGGCAAAGTTGTCGAAGCAGGGCCACCTGCAACCTTGCGCCGCAATGGGGGCGTCGTGGCGAAGATGTTCGCAAATGCAGGCATGTGAGCAAAGGGCCGATTCAAGCTAGCAGCGGATGCGCAACAGCACGGCAAGGTGTGGGTTCGAGGGTTGTCGGCCGTGACCGAGAGCTTTCAATTCTCGCATGACCAAAGCTCCGCAGGTGAACCCGAGCTGCCACCAGCGATCTCTGAAGGCAGCGATGGGAAAGATGCCCTGAAGACATTCCACTGCCCACTTTACACCACTACGACTATCACTACCACTGCCAATACTACGACGACTTCCAGTACCACCACCCACCCATTTACTCATCACCACCACTACTGTACTGCTGCGACTGCTACCACCAACTGTTCCTGTTCGTAGTGCTACATGCTGTTGCTGCTACGACCGCCTACTCCCACCGATGTTCATTTGTCATCACGGTCGTCGTCGTGGTCAGTTCACACCAGTATGCAGTTGTTTTTCCAACAATATAGGGTTTAGGGTTTAGGGTTGCAGCTTGCCAGGCGATCTGCCCTCCACCAAGCACTCCCTTTGAGCTGAGGATCGACACCGGATCGCAAAGCCACGGGTGGGAGATTGTGCCTAGCGGGCCTAGCATCTCTACGTAGCAGAGGCAGTCACCGGTGGAAGGCCTACAGAGACGACAGGAACGAACAAAAACGGACTACTGCCCTTTTGCCACAGCAGCAGCAGCACGGGTGCGACACAAAGCGAAGAACCACGAGAATGCATTGCACCCTTGCAACCGCGACAGCAAGAGCATCAGCAGATATCAGCAGCAAGCGAAGAGCAAAGCAAACACGCAGACAACAAACGCCGAGTGAGGCATAAACCACAACATAGCAAGACGGGTTGAAATTCTGCAGCTTCCGAAAGTGCCCCATCCGGCTGCGATCGATCATGTAGAGTCCTCACGGGTTTAATGCATCCAATCAGCAGGTTGTCGTGCGATTTGCAGCCTCAGGGCTTCAACACCCTGAAGCCATGGAAGAGCTTAGGATTTGAGCAAATCTCGAAGGCTTTTTAAATGAGGAAACAGAGCGACACAGGAGGATCAGCGGATGGGAGGCAGACTTTGCACGATGGCTTGCTGTGGTTTTTCGCCGAAGGATTCTGGAATTATCTCAGATTCGGCAGATTTTCGTGGATCTCCGTCCTGGCCAAGTGACGCGCATAAGAAACGTGCTTCCGGACTGCGAGGTGGAGGTCCTCCAGGGAGCAACTCATTCTGGGAAAGCTGCAGAGCCTTTAACCGTTCTTGTGTTGTTGGTGGTTTTTAAGTGTTACACGCACTCTTCATGCTTTCAGACTATCTCTGACTTTTTTAAGTGTTACCCGCAATCTTCGCGCTTTCAGACTGACCTCGGGAGTATCTCTTATCTGTCCAGTTCAGGGAGCTTGGAGCAGAACGGGCGGAGCCGGTGGTTGTCAACATGTGCAGATAGTCATCACAGAAAATCCAACCACAAGAGTACGAATGAACCCAAACCAGCAATAGATCTAATCAGACTATCCGAAAGTGGACGGCACACTTTTCCAGATGCGGATGCTGATTGCATAGCACCGTTCGTACCCCGGGGCCGGACTTGCAAAGCTGTGCTGGCAAAGGCCTGTCACACAGAATTTAGGGTCCAGGGTTTGGATTTCTGCCAGTGCTGTGGCTATAGTACATCAAAGGGCATACCCATAGGCCCCAAAGTAGTTCCCCGCACGTGGGGATCCAGGCTTCATCCTCACCCCAAGAACTGTGCAAGTCGATACATTTTCACGCAGGCCCCGAGGGAGGTTCTGCGGTCTGCAGAGGCATAGAATTCCCGAGAAACCTCTCGGGGAGGAAAAACTAATCTGGGTTCTTGTCAAGCAGTCAGGGTACCATAAGAAGGAACCCTGTTATTTAGTATAGATCCCTGTTATGGCAATTAAATAAATCAAACTGATGACAAAGAACGCTGTAATTCGGGTCTCGCCGGTCTCGCGTGGTTAAACCACCGTCGCAGAAGCTGGAGCTCGATAGTGCCCGACACCGAGACTAACCTAGGGCTTGAGGTTTAGGGTTTATGTGTTAGGGTTCGGGGACTGGCAGGGGTCAGGGTACATCATGGGCTTCCTGCGTGCTGCAAAGCCATCTGGGAGCGGAAGGGCTCAGTTTCTTGGGCTGGCCTTTGCACTGGAGGTGCAACGCTCCGAGTGTGTTTGCTGCCGGATGGTCACAAAGCTCTATCGTCCTTCTGGGCAGTGTTAAGCTAAGCTGAGGCACGTTACTTAATGACTGATGAGTAAGGTACCAGTCTACATGCCCCACAGAAACTCGAAGCCTGTAGCTCCCCAGGCCCCAAGTGTCGACTGGCCTTCACAAGCTGATCCTGAGACGGGCTGATGAACCTACCATGGGCTAAGGAAGCTTCTTTTTGATTCAAGGGTTACGCTTGGGCAAAGACGAAGCCCTAGACTTGAAGACGTAGCCCTAAACTCGAAGACCTACTGAAACAGTTGTCCGAGGTGTGTCAGCAGCCAAAAGTTCAGCCTGCTGTTGAAACACCAGCCCTAGCTTAAACCCGAAAGCCCTCAGCCCAAGCCCCACGATCTCCACTCCCGACAGATTTGGGGGTTTCCGAAAATAGGGGACCCTAACAAGCTTACTGTAAATAGTTGGATCCTGATTATAAGGACCCCCCCAATAAGGTACCCTATTTTTCGGAAACTCTAAACCGCTGTAGAGCCCTTTCAAGGAACCCTTTTTGTAACCCTTTAAGGGAGCCCTTCGGTACCCCCTATCTTCCGAAACTCCCCCTTAGACTCTCAAGGCTTTCCGTTCGACCAACTCTTGAGCTGCGAGCTGAGGCCGGCTATGGACCCTACATTCAGTATTCTAGGACCCAGAGTAGGCCCTTATTCCCTTTTTTGAGGGTTCAGGTTCCCTTATAAGCCCCTTTAAACCAAAAAGGGCACCCTTTTTATTCCTAGGTTACTCTTGGGTGTAGTATTTCAAGGGCACAAGGCTATTATATGGCCTTTAAGGGCGCCACAAGGCTATATAAGGTATTTAAGGCTACTTTTATGGCTTCTCTAGGGTACGGTAGGGCTTTATAAAGGGTACTAGAAGGCTACAAGGTAAGAGCATTATAAGGCTAATGGGCCAGAAGGGTACTGGAAGGCACTGCAGGAGCGGGGTTGGGAGATTCGGGCATTTGGGGCTTTGGGGGGTTTTCTGGCTTGAAACATCTTTCATGCGCTGCTTGGCACCATGGCCATCTTTAAGACACGAACCATTTTATGGCTCTTGTCAAATGACCATGTAGTTCTGCGGTTCCAGCGGAGAAGCTGTTTCTGCGGTGTACAAATTCAGCCGCCATCCGTTGGTATAACTTGTGAGCGTCGGGGAAGGAGAACTCGGAGAAACCCTTGCCGATAGACCTGCAGAGAGAGAGAGAGAGAGAGAGAGAGAGAGAGAGAGACTTTGAAGCCCGGGGATGTTGACCCGTCCCATCCCGTCCCCACGCCAAGGAGAGCGAGAGAAAGAGAGAGATGTGCCGCCTCGACTGCTCAAGCTGCTTTTGTAGGTCGCCTAGGTTGGGACAGGCTGGGGCGGAAGAACCAGATCCCCCAGAGGCTCCTTCCTGTCCTGGTTTTAAAACGTTCAGCCTGGCCCTCTAAAGGAGGGTGGGTTGACGTCTTGCCACACATGCCTCACAAGCAGTCACATGCAAGCAGTGAGCTCCGCTGAAGTCTGTGACTCGGTCTTCTACTGTATCCGCCGAACGGAGATACACCGAAGGATGCCCCAGTCAAACCGCGATCTCGCCCTGTTATTTCAACTAGTTGTCTGTAAACTCAACTTTTCAACTTTTAGGGTTCTTATAAGGTAGTGGGTTCTGAAAGTTTCACCTGCTCCACCCCAAATCGAGCACGGGCATACACACAGAGACCTACCTACAGAGCCAGAGCCACTTCCAAGACCCATACTCCCTAAGCCTGAAAAGCTGGTCACCATGGGTCTCTCCTCCTCACGCTGCACTCCCACCTGCTTCGATGGTGAGCACGCCACCTGGTCTTAATTAGTCATGGGCGGATCACTTTCCTGGGTTTCACAGTCCTGCACCTTCAAAGCAAAAGGAGTGGAAGGGCAGCCGTTATGCTGAGGAGTTCAACCTGAACGACTCGCGCTTCATTGATGTTGCTTTCCCACCCACCCCGAGTTCTCTGGGAGAAGCGAAGCCGGGCAAGCTCTTCATCACCCAGGACTTGGAGGGTTGGGGTTTGTGATGAGTCTCTCCAGAACTACGTCTGTCATGCTTTGCAGACCGTGTGCTGTCTCGGAAGCTAGGGGGCATCTCGTGAAAGATGCAGCCAGCAGCCAAATCATAAGGATGGTGACCTGAGGTGGTGTACAACCTCTCCTTCTTCATGTCAAGTTTAAGTGACAGAAGGGGTGACCCGAAGCAGCTACGTTGGATTGAAGGAGTAGCAAGCATTTGCTGATGGCCTCGTGGATCCTCAAGCGTCCCGGCAGTCCAACCAGCAACTCTCTTCACGCTACAACCCCATTACCTTAAACCCTGAACCGTTTGAGCACTAAAGCGCCCAAGACCCGTAAACCCAAGATCCCAGACTGGGGAGCAGGAGCAGCGCGAAAAGACCCGGTGGGTCCGAGTACCCGAGCTTCTGCATCTTGGTCGAGTTGAATCGAAAAGATTGGAGTGCGGTCGGGAAGGAGTTTTCGGAGCAGAACGTTCCCAGAATTTGGATCAAGTTTCGGGGGTTACTGTTACCGTCGTGATGATAGAGGTCGAGCGGATCTGGCTAGTCCTCAAGCCCAGTAGCTACTGTTGCAGTGTTCTAGGCTCCACCAGTGGCCTTTCGAGGCACTTTAACCAGCAGATCACAGCTGCCGAGTTCTCCCAGAAGCAGCAGTCAGAGCTGACCTGGACAGGCCAGGGAATAGGATCAGGGCTTGAGCTGCTGTCAGCGGGGCGGTATAGGGTATCTAGACTTACTAGTATGAGCCTGTGAGCTCTGGTGCCCGACATGCATCTGGCAAGCAAGGCTGGCTTGGGCAACTTGAACATGTTTGGACAACATCGGATCCTGCACCCATGATACAGCAACCTCCCCGAAACGGGGACCACCGCCACATCACAGGTTTGAGAAATCCTTTAACGACTTGTATAGTGAGGCAGCTACTGCTACCCCAAGCTCACACCTAGATGCCGGTAGAGTCGCAAGCACCAGGGTTTGACACGTGTTGCGCGCCTCGAAGGCCCAAGTGCGAGAAGACTCCTGCAATCGGAGTCGAGCCCAACTAAAATAGGACTTCGCCTCAAAATGGCGGAGGGCGAAGACGAGATCCCTGACGCCCCAGTCGAGGAGGAGGAAGGCCGAGGCCAAGGCGCAGCACCGCCAGAGCAAGAAGCCGAGGTCGGAGAAGGTGTAGCAGAAGCGGATGCAGCTCCCGTTGCTGCTGAAGCTGCCTTGGGCATGATTAGCAATACTATTTACTATCTGTTAGGGTTCCTTAATACAGTATGAGATAGTATGGTATGGTATGTAGCATAGTAGAGTATATTGTGCAGGAGGCTGCGCAGGAGGCTGCACCGGCGGCGCCGACAGTCGAGGGCCCTGGCGAGGCAGCAATCGACCTCGTCATTCTGCCAGAGGGCTATGGTCAGACAAAGCAGATTAACATCGACAGACCCGTGGGAAAGATTCGTGGTGACTTGGAGGCAGAGTTGAGCATTCCGGACAAGTCCCTGTATCTTATGAATCTGTCTGGCGCTGTTGAGTTCAAGCAAGTGCTGCCCGATGAGAAAACCCTCCGTGATCTGGGTCTCAAGCCTGGAGATCGGGCCGGAATCGAGCTCCGCATCAACTACTACCAAGAGCAACCCGCCGAGGAGTACGTGATGCCGGACATGCTCGACCTTAAGGTCGTGAACGAACACGGCGAGGAGAGAATGGTGACAGTTCACGTGCAAAGGCCCGTGATGGAGAAGCCATACTTGGGTGGTTTCCGGAACAAAGCGACTGACTCCATGTACCATCATGCAGTCACCCAGACAGCCCCGGTGCAGAAGAAGGATGTTCACACGCTCCGTTTTCACCGCGAGGCCCAGACCTATGAGTACCGGACGCGATCAACGCAGTGCAAGCGTGACAATGGGACGCAGATGGACAAGGTAGGACTGTACCTTGATAGGCGCGGGGACAAGACGATGGAGCCTCGAAGACCCTACTTCAGCAGCGCAGACAAAGCAGCTCTTTTGCTGGAGAAGTGCGTGATGATCCAGTGTCATGCCAGAGGCATGCTGGCGAGGAGGCGCACCAGGCAGCTGCGGCAGATGCGCCAGGAGCGCCACGAGCTGGCAAGGAAGGAAGCAGAGAGAAGGCAGCTGGAGGCCGACTTGCGGCACAAGCGGGAGGTCGAACGCCGAATGCACCCGCGAACCTTCGAGGACTTCAGCGTTCTCTACAAGGAACTGGAGGCATGGCGCGTGAACGAAGCCGCACGAATCCAGAACTCCGGTTTCGACGAGGCCACACGTCGAGCAGCACAGCATGAGCTCCTGCGCAAGGAGACGAAGCTCCTGCAGACAATTGACAAGCTGAAGATCCAGGCGCACACCTCGAATCGAGATGCAAAGATCAAGAGCAAGCTGGAGTCGATGTCACAGCCGAAAGTATGGGCGCAGGGTGATGGCGAAACCACAACTGTCCACACCCCCTTCACCACCAGAGCCAAGGAGCTCATGGACCTCTACAGCGGCCTCAGACTTCCTTTGCTGACTGTCGATGAGCGCCTGGACGTCCTGCTGCACGTGAAGTGGACCGTTAAGGAGTTCGACTGCAACCTGACCCGTGAGATGGTCGACTTGATCGATAGGGAGGCTGACATGCTGAACAGGGGGAGGCCAGAGAAATCCTTCGTAGGTCTTCGCAAACGCCTGGCGAATCTCTTCCTCCAGTTTATCGAGACGCCGGAGTTTAACCCAGAAGCCATGAAGTTCCAGAAGGTCTCCCGCGAGTTCTATGACCAGACTGGCACGCATCCACTGAGCACCGTACCGATAAAGGCCTTAGGAAGCTGATAGATCATAGGGTCTCAGCGGGCGCTAGGCGTCAAAGCGACATGTGCCAGCAAGCAGCAGTGGATCCGGCCTGCTTTGACACCATCTGTGGATTTCACCTTGCGCAGCAATCAGGCGACTCTAGTTACTCTAGTTAAAGATCCTGGTGCCATGAACTTGATCAGCCATCCGCTCGGTGACACACCACCTGATGTTCTCACAATCTTCGAGGCAGTTTCACATTATCCTGGGCTTGCTTGCTGCTGAAGCTGGTGGCTCCTGCCGCTTCCGTCTCACCAGATGTGGTTCAGCACAAAACCTTTATATGAGCTCATGAGTTTATGTACTGGCGTAGTTGACTTGTCCTACATAGGTACTAGCAGCTACCAGTTTACTGGCGGCCTGTTTGCTGCTTTCCGGAGGGCCGGAGGGTTTGGGCTGCGAGTTCTGAAAGTGTAGCGGCTGGTTCCGGATGTTTGCAAAGTTCGGATGTGAGATTGCACTGCTCAAACTTTTTTTTGTGAAGCCTTGGCTCCCTCGTATCCAGGCCGAAGCCTCCAAAATCGAATCCCCCCCACCGCTAACGACCAATGGTTAGAAACCGTGAGAAAGCTTGATATTCTAAATCCGCTCGGTTGCGGGCTTTGGGTTTCACGAAACCCCAAACATCCCTAAATCACCACAAACAGTAGACCTCGAACCGTATGCTTGGCCAGGCTGTCCGAGTGTGAGCGCCGAAACTTCCCTAAACCTTCGGCAAAAGTCCTCCAGGTATGAGCTCCAGCGATCTCGCGCAAGGCGGGGGTGGGAGTGTCAGAAGTTCTGTGATTTGCTATAGGGGCTTAAAATGATTACCGACACTACTGTGGGGGTTCCTTAAATTGATTATTGTGTAATGTACAGCCAGACCCTATTCTGATTATTAAGGCCCCTATATTAACTGCAGGGTTTGCAGGAACGACTTGATGGGGGCTTCGAGCCGCAAACTGTAGAGTTTCGAAGCCACCTAGGGCCTAGGGCTTGCTTTCTGAGGCGAACTCTATCCCTCTAAAGACCTGGGTGAGCTTTCCTCAGGCTCTTTGGGCAACTGCTGGCTGGTTGCTACCATCGCGGCCTTAGATCCATGGCTTGTCTGTTTTTTTCTGGAGCTGAAGGGGACACGACAGTATCTTTGACCTGCGTTTGGTATGTTGGTGTGATCGTGGAGTGATTGGTTTGCAGCATCAACGCGGCAATGAGGACTGTGGTGCCTGACAGCAAAGTACAAAACAAAAACATCGTCCACCAGCATCACACCACCACCCTCCACCGCCGTCAGAGATGCCGTCTGCGCAGCAGTGGGAGTCGTCGTCTTCACGCTCGGAGTTGTAGTACGGCAGCGGCAGAAGATATCATCAGCCCCGGAAGGCTCAGCACTCCTCGCGAGCAGGTATGTCTTACCCGCAGTGTCCTACTCGCTGTGAGAATCAAAACAGTGCAGCGAGAGCCATAGCTGCTGCCATACCTTTTATGGTCCTCGGGGGCATCGAAACGACTGGGACTCGAGACAAACCCTCAAGCACAACTCTCCGAAGCAGCACCGAATCCTTAGGGCTTTTGTAAGGGTCCCCCCCTATTTTCTGAAACTCTCCTTTGGAAGGCCAACCCGAAAGCAAGCTAATTCCGAAATCGTATAGTATTTCCTTGTAAAGCCAGCTGTTTACAACCCTCGGTAGAACCCTAGAGCCACTCCATAGAACACTATAAAGGCTACATGGCCCTCAACGCTTTACCCTAAACCCCTAACCCCTACGTAAACCTTACACCCCAAACTATTAAATTTCATAATTCCGGGTGGTTCAGGAATGGAACTGCGTTTTATTTTTCGGGTAGGCCTGTTTGCCAAATTTATGCCTTGAAAGGATGGTTGTTTATCCGGAACTCAAACAACCAATTTGCTGAATTCGAGGGGTGAGAGGGGCCTGAGAGGGGAGCCTGGGAAGGGGGGGGTGAATTGACGGATCCCCGGATCCCACCAAATCCAGGCGCCGATTCATGTCAGTGGTCGGTTGCCTGCACGGCATGTATTACATCGTGATTCCTGATCCGGCTTGTGCGTCTTGTGACTTTTGCTACTGGTGTTTGTCAGTTTTGAGACGCGCCGAACTGCCCGGCCTCAGCTGCTCAAATGCTGCAATCCAGACTACGTGGTCGTCAATTCTGCATTCTGCAGGTTTCTTGACCTACACTGAAACAGCAAAAAGGCCAAAGACTAAATACTGTAACGAACTTAACGAACTCACTCAGCATTTCGGCAGCAGCAAAGTCAGCGCGAAGCAGTGCTCTTTGTCTTTGAACATCCGAGAGCCGTTGGCCGTGTCCTCAGTGCCAGTGCTAGCCTTCGGTTCGGGTTTGGGGTTGGGTGTGGTGTGAAGTCAAGGGTTACTGCTGGGCTTGCGGCTTGGGTTGGGCGGCCTTTACAGCCTTTACTTTACTGCTTTCAGTTTTCGGGTTTGCGTGCTTAGCGTGTAGTGTAATGTTTTGTATTTAGGGTTCAGGGCTTAGGGTTCACAAATGCTAATGCCACTATGGTCCCGGCCGCTCTTGCTCGTGTCGCCTCTGGATTCTGCTGTGTACGGAGCACGGAATGTACATTCTCGGAGGTCCGATTACATCATGCAGCATGCACCCGGGCCGCCCGGGCCCATTAACAATGCGTAGCAACATTCCTGATTCCTGAGTCCCGAGAATCCCAGAACGTCTTGGAGCCAAGCACTGCACCATGCCATCGCCATGCGTCCGCTGATTGTCGGCGTCTCAGAAGTCAATTGATCGTCCCCGCGGCTGTAGCAAACATGACAGGATGGTTCTGGGCATGATTCCGGATTCCGGATTGGGTTCGGTGTGGCATGCTAGATCCTCCTGGCAGGCAGATGCCTATGCAGAGGCAGAGGAAAGAGCGCAGGCGGCCCGGGCATGTTGAAGTTGCGGTCTGAGGTTTGTTGTATAAATTGACTGTTGTAAACCTACACTACCTATGCTCAGCCCGGCCGGTGTGCGCGTTTTCCAACTGTGCTTTACATGCAGCTTTTCTGGCTCTCTCTCTCTGTAGCTTTCGCGATTTTGAAGTTTCATGGGCCGGTAAATTCTTCCTAGCAGGCAAGCTCAAGCTCCAGCTGCTAACTTCGGTGTTCGGGATTAGCCCTCCTCATCTGTCGTGCATGGCAGCCTTCATCTGGCTGGAGCGTGTGCGCCGGAGGGTAGAACTCGAAGGTGCTGGGGCTGGCGCTGCCGCTGGTGCCGGCCAAGCGGGTGTGCAGGTTGTCCATCAGGCGAGTTCTGGTACTGCTTCTTCTGGGCCAGCTGCGCTTTCGGGCGATCTTGCCATCCACACATCCGATGCCGATCTGACTGCTGCCTCGCCTGGGATGCCGCTGCCGCTCACACCTGCGGAGGCCTTTGGTCGAGAGCGAAGCCGGTCTCCGCTTCGTGGTTTTCCGGCTCCGCGCACCCCGACCTTGGAGGAGTGTCGCTTGGAGCGTCTTTCATGCCAGGTCCGAGATTTGCGAGCCGAGATTCAGCTTCTGGATAGAGACCTCCGGGAGGATGCCAGCCGGCATTGTGTGGACAGGTCTCAGTTTCGGACGGCCCTGGAGGATCTCCGGCTGCAGGTTTTGGCTATGCGACCTTTGGACCTGACGAATCCCCCGAGCGATCTCGTGGAGGCGGACCGTGCAACCGCCCTCCGGCTCATGAGGGATCCAGGGCTCGTGCTTGATCTTCTTCGTCATTATGCACGTCGCATCGCGGCTTTGGAATCTGGCTGGAGGCCGCTGGGACAACGCTGAGGCTGACCTCGGAGTTCTTCAGAATGCCTTTATGGTGGTGTCGGTGGTGTCGGCTGGCATGGGAGATGGTATGGTGACTTCGAGAGTTGCCACGCTTTTTTGGTTTCGAACCAGCATCCTGGAAGGTGGCTGGTTCTCTCGCGACACAGTCTGACGGCCGTGAAACATTCCATTGTGTGTGCGATCGGCTTGCATTGCAGTCTGCAGTTAGCTTGAGCTTGCCTTGTTTGCACTGTTTGCACCTTTTCATTTCCGGCCATGTTCCGTTATGTGCAGCTCAGAGCCACACCATCTCGCCAGGCTGCTTTACCAGAAGGCCACGAAGATCGTGATGAGCAGGCTGGCTGGTTTGCCCGAGCCCGGGAAAGAACTAAATACTAAGTCTAAACAAAGCCCAGGCTGAAGGGACACTGCCGTCGCACGTTGGGGCCTTGGGCTGCCTTCGTTGCCTGCTTCGCACGTTTGGCTGAAATGATGCGTTTTGCGGTGGTCTCTAATCCTAGGTCGCTGATCCTGCTGGACGTGACTCGGCCACGGCTTCGTTGGAGCAGGCATCGGAGCTGTCCGGGTTTTGGGTTTGGGTGTCTTTCGAGTGTGGGGGTTTAGCACCTTAAGCGCTAAGGATTTTGGGCTTGGTTTGGTTTTTCGGTGGAGGGTTCGGATGCGGTGAATCATTCGGTTCGATCCTGCATTGCATTCGATGAGAACACGTAGTGCTGCGCAGGATCGCTCGACATCGCTGCTGGGCTCTTCTCCGCTCTCGGCTCCCGAGGTGCGCTCCTTTGTGGCGGGGTTGTGGTTTCCGCTTGATTGCTTAGGTCGCGACAGGAGTGACAGTAGGTGCGACGTGTGCTGCTGAAATTGACATGGGAATGGGAATCTTGTCGTGTCCGGAGGCATTATCCGATGCCGCACTGGTGTTGGCTGTCCCGGCCTTGCTCCTCTGATTTGCAGCTCCGGCTTTGATTGTGTGGATTGCAGGAGGCTTGTCCATCATTGCCGCCATCTGCCGGGGCCTTGGGTTCTGCTGCTGCGACCAAACGTTGCTGCTAGTCTCTTTCGCTTCGTGGCCCCGGCTTCTGCTAGGAACGGATGACTGGGGCATTGCAGGCAGTTCCTGCTGGCTGCTCAGATCGGGAATGTATGGGCTGGGCCAGACATACATAGGGATACAGGATTTGGGGCTAAGGGTTG